TAATAATTACCTAAACAAATATTTTATTTTATATCATTATGATATATCGAACAATTTAGAGATTTAAATAAATAAAAATTCGTTAATACTGTAAAAAAAATTGAAACTTGTTTATTATGTCAAATTGGCCTTTACCAAGTCCAGATATTCAATACTTTCTTCGTACTCTTCCAGCTCAAAATTCTGCTGGTCATCCGCTTGGCCCTCTTTGGCAAGCTTTTCATCTAGTCCAAACTGATAAAAAACCAAAAGCAAAATGCATTTTTTGTAGTCCTGATAAACCTATATCAGGTACCGCTTGATGCCTATGCAATTCAGCAAAAAAAAATAGTAAGAGATTCAATTCCTATACAAGATCAACAACTTGGCATTTCATCGGATGAATCAATTATACCTTCTATGTCAGCTTCGAATTGTTCAATTGCTTCTATACAAGCAAATCATTTTTTTTCACCACCACCAGTTGATATAAATGAATCTAATAATTTATTATTAGAAGCTATAATAGAAGGTGGAGCTCCTCTTTCTTTTGTAGAATCAAAAAAATTTAAACAGTTTGTTTATTCAATCAATACACGTTATCATGTTCCAGCAAGAAAGCAACTTTCAAATAAAATTCTTGATGTTTATAAAAAAGTTCAAAAATCAATTTATCAATTTATTTGCAAGTTTAATTGGATTTCTATTGTGATAGACAGATGGACAAACATTCGTCAAGATCATATTATAAATTTTATGGCTATTGGAAAAAATCGACAAGTTGAGCTAGTAAAAATTAAGGATACTTTTGGTGAAAGTCAAAATTCGATGGTTATTTTTAGAGATTTAGAGAATACTGTAATTCAAGTTGGCATTGAAAAAATTAATGCAATTATTACTGATGGAGCAGCTAATTATGTTCGTATAAAGGCAATGTTTAATCAACAATATTCAAGAATTTTATCTTTGCCATGTACTGCACATGAATCAAATTTGTTAGTTGGAGATATGTTAAAACATACATATATGAAATTAACTATTAGTTTGACTGTAAAAATTATTTCTTATTTTCAAAAAAGCACTCAAGCTATTCAGTATATTCGTACTCGAACAAATAATAATATATTTCGATTTACATTTCCTACCTTTACACAATAGAATTCTTTTTTTGTGTCTCTACAACAGGTGCAAAATAATGAACAATATTTAAAAGATACAGCATATGAAATGGGATCACGATTAGATAAATATATCATATCAATTCTTAAAGATAATGTATTTTGGAATCATTTGCAAAATATTATTCATATATTGGAATTGTATTCACATATTCCAATTATTTTAGAATCTCAACATGCTACTCTTGCAGATGTTCTTTATTTATGGGCTTGAATGCAAATAACTGTTAATACTATTGATAATAACACTTTTCAACAATATATTAGTGCACGAATTCAATATTGATGGAATCGAATGTATAGCTCAGTTTTTCTTATATGTTGGTCTCTTCATCCAAAATATATATTTGCACAAGCTATTCGTCCAGAGCTTGCAACTCTTATTAAAAAGGAAGCTAGTCTTTTATTTGAACGACTCTTTCCAAATAAAGATATTAAAAAGTTTCGAATGCAATTAATTGATTGGAATAATAAGGCTTATCCTTTTAATTTTGAAGGTAATTGGGACGATTATCTTATTAAGGATCCAGTATATTTTTGGAATAATTTTCAAAGTGAAATTCCTGAATTAGCACTTTTTGCTTCTCGAATTATGAGTATACTACCAACATTAGTTGATAGTGAATGGTTTTGGTTAGTAATTTCAAACATACATACGCCACAACGGAACAGATTAACAAATGACCATGCATTTAAATTAACATGCATTCAATAGCACATAGCTCAAAAAGAAAATATCTCTCTCAAGCAAAAAGAAATTAATAATCTTAGTCAAATTCTTCAACAAGATATTACTATATCTAATTCCGAGGTAAGTAGAGAAAAAAGTTCATCTATTAATGTTTTATATATTAATAGTGAAACAGGTAATTTGGAAGAGAATTATGAAGATGAGTCTCAAAATTTGGAAGAATCTGAAAACTCTGAAAACCCTGAAGAAGAAATAATGAAAACAATTGAAAATATCGATATATTAGATTCTAATGATCAAAATGCATATTGTGAAGTTGTGAACGAATATAGTCAAGTTGTAAGTTATGACGAGAATGTATTAGAAAATTGGTTGCTTTTTGATAAATTAGATAATATTTGATTTAGCCATGTTTTGTTTTTGCTACATAATAAAAATTATATTTGTTGCTAAAAATAGAAACAGCATAAGCATCACTTATTATTACTTAATACAAAAAATCTTGTGTAATATTTAGTAAAATTAAGTAAAAATACATAATTTTATAGCCCATCCCTAGTACGTATGTACGTATAGTACGTAATTAATCTAAATTATTATATAAATTCTAGTCAGAATTATGCAAAATTTTGGCCGATTGCCCGAATTATGATTTAATTTATATTGTACTGAAGAAATTGATAAAATCGGCTATTGTATTATTTCGAAGGCTGTTTTCAAAGCTGATTGGACTAGAAATAATCACAATTCCCCCCTACGGCCTGATACTATTCATTATAGCTAACGTCAACTAACTTAATTTTCTTGAGTTTAAAGGTAGAGTAGTGACTGGGCTCGTGTTAATTCGTGACTCGCGAATTAAACTCCGAATCATTTGAATAATATTCTTTGAGTTATTCGAGTTACAAATTAATTATCGTAAATAGCAAACTAAGAGTTACAAAGCAAGCATATTTAATTTAATTCGTGTGTTATAAAAAGTGAATTATAACAATAAAAGCAAATATCTCAAATTACAAGTTATAAAAATTGATTAATTCGTTTAATAACAATCAAAATTGTAAAAAAAAAAAAATTTTTTCCCCGACCTGAAAAAGTCGTTCCAAAATCTAATAAAATATCGCATCGATTAGTATAACT